ACGTGTCTATAGTCTTATAACAATACAAAATCAAAACAATAACAAATCATCGTGCTCGATATAATTCATAATAAATTTCAATGCGAATGCAAATAATTAATAATTCAAGTAATAGTTGAGAATGTTTCGATTCAAAATATCTTAGTCAGTATAATATATGACCTTTCAAATATTGAAAATACTCTTAAACGTTGGTATCGTTTACCATTTTTTGTCATTCCTCCTGAAATGAATTATACGCAAATATGATATTATTATGTTATGGAAGTATGATATGAAATGAATTAATTGAGCTCAAGAATATTGATGTGTATATGTAAACTCTCAATGAAGAGATTGTTACTTGGTTTCAAGTGAAAACCGTTCCCGTACAGAATAATCATCACCCTATTCAGCATATCTCGTGGTCCTAGCCAAACCACATCCAGAGAAGTAGCTGTTTGGTTGATATTCTAAAAAGTACGAAAGTGTTATAGTTGAAAGTGTGCACTATAACAGTAAATAGGAGGGAATCCTGGAAGATGTGCCACACTAAGGCATGAAGGATTAACCTTACTGAAGATATTTTGTCCTCGAATTGATAGGGCATGAAATGATGATTTAATGTGAAATAATGAGCTCGTTTATGATGATTATGTATATTTATGAATTATGAAGATGATTATGATGATATTTACCCCCGGGGATGATTTTCCAAAAATGGAAAATATTTGCGAGTTGTTAGACAAAGACATGTACGGTCTAGTTCTATGAAAAAAAATTGGAGGAATGAGCATGCGGTATTTAACAGGAGTATTTTCAATCAGTTCAATAATGTAGAAGTGATGAAATATCACAAATTTCATTATAATAAACTATTTACTACTTGATTTCATCGAAACAACGTGAATAAGGCAATCGAATTGAATAAACTTCAATATATTTGTGAAACCGGTTATACCAAAGATAAATAAATAAATCGAATAAAGTTCTGATAATATTTCATATTGAACAAAAAATAATCACAAGGGCCCTTGTGTCAAAATATTGCTCAAAGTACATGAAAGTACCAATACTCGGACGTTTCATCAGTTTATTCAAGCTGCCAATAATGAGTTGTCAGATGAATATCCTTTTGAATCTTACGGATTGGACCTGGAATGTCAAAAATGATCAATATGTAAGCATGAAATAACATGGTAATGATTCCGATTATATATTTATCAGATAGGTTATTTTTTTTAATGAAATTTTTCAACGAGAAGGCACGTTGGTTTTTCAACATGACTCTGATTATTCTTTTTTTTCCATTATTTCAATTCACCTGTTATTATATGAATAATTTTTAATTCGCAATATTGGCAATTTATTTTAATCTCGTGTTTGAGAGAGATTTCTTGTAACTGAAAAGCATTCAAATCCATTGACATTTTGAATCAAATGCGGAAACCTATCGAACAATTTCTCATAATTTCACATGAATAGGAAATAAACAAGTGGATAAGTAACTTATAATTAATTTTTTGTTTATACAAACAATCTTCAAATTTTTTAATTAAGAAACAACTTTCCATAATTTGGTTTCTGATTTTTAAAGAAAGTAGTTACGATTATCGAATTCCCCTAAAAATGAACGAACTTTTTTCAGCAAATTTCATATTTTAATATTGCTTACTAGGTCACTAGTAGTGATGAAATTGACGCATTTTGACGAACTCGATATAGTAAAAAAATATGAACTTGACACTTGATTCGTGTTGCATTATGTTGCTAGTATATTATTTATCATTTATTTATAGGAATAATAATTAATCAAGTTTTCAATATCTTGATAGGAATTTAGTAGATATGTTATTACAGAACTCAGATGAATAATCATAATTTTAGAGTATTCGAGGAGTTATTTTCTTTTTTTATTGAAGTCCTAATCATAGATTATTTCGAGTAAGAACTATAGTAAGTGAAATTTAATTTGCAGCATAAATGTTGGTACTTCACATATAAAATAGGATTTTTATGAAGTTTAAATGAGGTATAAAGCATATCACGGCACATAGGTTAATCATTTATTGCTTTTCTTGAATTTTGTACATTCATCTTTTTCGATCTCTTATGTGATAGTTATATGTAGGGTTATATAAAATTCCCCATTTTAATATAAATAGTAACGTAGGCATTTGACAATATTTTTTTCTTGCATGATTTCACGGTATCACACAAAACCGAGCAGAATGCAATGCACGCACACTGAGCACTGGCATACAACACTCATCAAGAAATCAGACACCCAGGGGGATGCAGCCATGCAGCCAAATGGCCAAACATTGACAAACCAAGGACTGTTTGACTGTACAGCATGATTCGATGGTAGCAGCTGGGTAGCCCAGAAACGAAAAGGAAAGTGGGAATGCTACAAGTCGTGGATAGCTCCTAGAAGTTTGACGTTGGGAGACCACGAAATTCATTCCACGAGATTCCTGATCAGCCCCTGATATGACGGTAATTTGTCGTTGCCGCCCATGGACGTCTACTAGCTTCATTGAGACGAATGGACCAGGACGTTGTGCCATCATGACAACAACTGCCCATCAGTCGTCATTCGCTACCCCAAGCAGCCAGCAGTTCCCTTCGTTCAGCTGCCAACTACCTCGAATGACATAGGAAACCTCATCCCAATGCCCAGGACAAGGATACCTTCGAGCCCAAAAGGATCCTGCCGATATCCCCATGACGATTGGAGGATGCCATGCCCAATCGTCATTCCCTACCCCCGAGCTGCCAGAAGTCCCACCGAGAAGAGTCTGATTAAAATGCTTTAGTTGAATATAGCCAATGCCGGACTAAGTAAAAGTGTGAGTGTGCATTGTAGACACTGAACTTTTGAGTGTGTGACCTCAATTTTCAAGATATATTGTTTTTTTTTTGTTGTCATTTTTGAATCTTTGGTATATGTTGTCCTCGATATTTTTAGTTAGGTGATAATTTAAAAACTGGGGTCCAGTTTTCTCGGAGAGAGGGGTCATGTCACGAGTAGAACATTCAGTATATTAGTAATTTGTAACCATGAGGGTTTTATAAACATAAAATCATTCAAATCATCAATTGACATTGAACTATGAAAACTGACCAAGGAACTCTCATGAAAAACGTGCAAATCTAATAAAATGATGTATATAAATATTGGATATAAGGGTTCCGAAGTTAGTCTGGTCTGGGGCTACTCTTGACTTGACAAGAGCTCGTCGTAATGGTCATTATAATGTAAGTTGTTATTAGGTCTTTATATTCATTGTTGTTTATTCATAATTGTTATCGCTACCCATCATGTTTCATGCTATTATAAATATTGTTATGTTTGAATGTAGTCTCGTACTTTCAGTTACCCCTAAACTATTAGTGCCTATTTGAATATTACCTCTCGCAAACTATGAAGCCAAGCATTACCCCTTATAAATCGATATAAATCGATATGGATGAATTAACCATCTCTATTTTATCGTGTGAGACAGTTTTCATTATTTTAAGTATTGGATATTAAAATGTGTTTTTATATGGGGCATCTGGCCAGGATTTGCGAACGGTCCAGCATGCTAAAACTGGACTGCCTCGGTTTGATCTTCAAATGGGGCGTTCCTGGTAGTGCACACAGATAGGCATGCTAAAACCATCTGTACCCATACAAAAATTAAGTGAAAAATATTAATTCATTTTTAACAACAAACAACTTTATTTTGTTGTGACAATATGCCCTAAGTCGACAAAGGCGCACCATAAGAAGATCTCTGAAGAGTGATCAAAAGATAGGTGTAGCATGAGACAAATAGGGTCGAGGGGCGCGTAGAGGGAACTGATGACGCAGGTAGAGTCTGCTGATAGGATTCAGATGTGGCTCCCTAGTGATTCATGATCTCTCCGCGTGATAATTGCTCGTACCCGTCGGATTGCCAAACCGTGAACCAAGTGATCACCTCCTATCTATTATTCGATCGATGACCGACCATGGCTGGAGTTGCTCGAGAGTACTGTCTGACGGGATCTCGGGATATACTTCATAAAGCAATGGGATGGTGGTGATCGAGGAGGAGGAGTATGAAGGGACTCGAATGGACTGGGCTGGAGAAGACGAAGGGCAGAATTAATCAAAAAGACCTCGGTGGAATAAAGTGATAGTATAGAAATGCGGAGTCTTGCGCTCTAATTTCTAATCGCTAGATTGCGGGCTGGAGGGCGTGGCGGACCAATGAGGTCTGTCCGCCAGCCGGTCCGCCTTTTTTGTGGTTGGAATGGAGAGTGAGTTGTGCTCTGCCAACCGAGAAAGAGATAAGAAAGAGAGGGTATGATAATGTTGATGATAAGTTAAAATGGGATGCGAGGAGGAAGGATGTGTTCAGCAGGATGGAGCTCAACCAACCTGTCATGTCGTAACTTCCTGAGAGAGAAGCCGGCGGATTCAGAAACTTGTGGCAAATCACTTCTATTGATATGATGCGTAAACAGGATCTGAGTCCAAGCGAAGGAAAATCGCTATAAAATTATTCACCTCGGAGGGCACCATACAGAAATGTTGGTGAAGAGCATAGCGAACTCTTGAGTACCCTCCAAGCGCCGTAACCTGCCAGTTCCCGAGGGGATAATGATGACAACGACCCGATGCGTGGTACTGGGGTTTGGCTCGTGTGTGGCCATGGGACCGAGATAGAAATGAGCTTTTGATCTGACTGGTCGGTCTCAGTTGGCCACAAAAAACGAGATGCCCGTGTGTAATGTACAGCAGCGGTAGCCATCGCTAATCAGGCCGGCGGGCTTGCCTTAACCAGCTGGCTCAAGTTGAAAATACAACTATAAAAATTCTCTTGTCGTAGGGTTGCGGACGTTGCCAGGCGGCAACCAAGATAGGTGGAGTAGGACCTATCCCTAAACGTCCGAACTACTAGAAGATGGCGCCTCTAGCAAAATAAGCCTTGTGTCGTACGGCAAAACGACATTGACCTGTTAGAAGCCAAAGACTCGTAGGAATAAGTATGATGAACAATAAAGAAACTAATGAAAATAAGGATAGTGAGCAGACGGTATGCGGAGAAATTAAGGAAAGGGTAGAGCAGATGGTAACGGTGTCGAAGGACATAAAGAAATTTGTGTTAGATGATTCTAACAAGATTTCTAAAGTAGCTTCGTCATATATTTTAGACAAGGTATCAGTAATGGAGGAAATTATAAGTAAATTGATAGCGGAGAGAGCGGAAGCTAGAGGTAGGGCGGAGGAATGTAGAGCGCTGGTAAAATTAATGGCGGTAATGCCTAATATAACTAATACATCTGTACCACAGGCTAGTGTGAGTAGTAAGGTGGTACAGCCTGTAAAACAAAAGGTGGAAGTGAAGACATTTGCGGTAGCAGTAAAGAGCGATAAAGGAGAGAAAGTAGAAGAGATAATGAAGAAGGTAGACGAAATGAGTAGGGATTTGAAGACGGTGAGAGTAAGGACGGTAAGAAAGATAAAAGATGGGGTAGTTATAGAGGCAGCGACTCAAGAAGATGCTAAAAATATAAGGACGAAAATTAAAGGAAAGAATTTAAAAATAGCGGAGGCTATAACACTAAATCCAAAAATAATTGTATTTGATGTGCCGAAAGAAGTTACTGATACGGAGTTACTGGAAGATCTATATAACAAAAATGGAATGTCGAGGGTAACGGTGGAAGATTTTAATAATTGGGTTAAAGTAGATGGCCGGAAGAAAATGAGGCATGATTTGGATAATGTAATACTAAGTTTGAACGATGAGATTGCGGAGTACTGAATAGGAAAAGGATATGTATATGTAGGATGGAGGTCTTGTAAAGTAAAGGAGGTAGATATTGTTAAGAGATGCTTTAAATGTTGCAGTGTGCATCATAGGGCGGATCAGTGTAAGGAAAGAGGGTATGTTTGCAGAAAGTGTGGCGAAAGTGCACACGATTCGAGGAGTTGTAGAAATAGGATGAAATGCAAATCATGTTTTGAAAAAACAGAGGAAGAACTGGCGCACGCAACGGATTCTGGAGATTGTCCAGAATACAAGCGCAAGTTGGAATATTTGAGGAATAGAGAGATGTTTATTGTTCAAAAACATTAAAATAATGCAGTTGAATTGCCAAAGATCATATGTAGTAATGTGCGAATTAGGAGTATTAATGAAAGAGGAAAATATATCGATTGCGCTGATACATGAACCATATATAAGGAAGGGAATAATAGTAGGAATACCAGGAAATATGAGAGTAATAATGAAGCAGGATGGTAAAGCGGCAATAATAATAGCGAATGATGAAATAGAGAGTATAGGTAGGATAGAATTAATGAATAAGTATATAGCATGTGCTATGATAAAAATAGGGGTATATGAAATGGTTGTTGTATCAGTTTATTGTCAATTCGGAGAGGATGTTGAAATTATAAAAAGGAAAATTGAGAATGTAATAGAGAAAGTAAACGGGAAAGCTATGATTTTAGGAATGGATGTAAATGCGGTTTCTCTCATGTGGTTTGAAAACATAAGGGATGATGAAAGATTTAGAACAGGTGAAATAATAGGAGATATGATGGTAGTTAATAATTTAATAGCTATTAATGAATATAGCGAAGATTATACTTATAGTGGACCAAAGGGAGAAAGTGATATAGACGTAACAATGATAAACGAGATTTGGAAATTTGAGACTACATGGAGAATTAGGAGTGAAATAGGAATAAGCGATCATAATGTGATAGAAATAGTAATAAATTTTAATGAGGATCTTTGGCAAAATAATGTTAATAAAATTAAATGGTCAGGTAAAAATGTAGATTGGGTATATTGCGACATTAGAAGGAAAATCTGAAAATTGTGATATACGTCAGTTTATGAATTGCGATATAAACGAGCAAATGAATATCGTACATAAATGGCTAGAGGAAACGAATGAGGAATGTTGGAAAAAGGTTGAAGTAAATAGTAGAGAAGGGTGGTGGAATGAAGAATTAAATAATTTACGTAGAGAAATGAGGAAGTGTAGGAGGAAGGTGCAAGTAGGAAGGAGAACAGGCTTAAATAATGATGAAAGAGAGGAAGAGTATAGGAGGAAGTGTAGAGAATATAAAATTGAAATTAAAAATACGAAAAGAAAAAGATGGGAGGAATATGTTAAGAATGATGGCAATGTGGACCCATGGAGTAGTGCATATAAAATATGTATGGAGAAAAGAGTTACAGAAAGTTGGGTAGATACAATTATTGTCTTATTAGATGAATGATTTCCTCCAGGAAGGGAAGAAGGAGAAGATGAAATAGTAGAAGGAAATGAATTTGATGAATTTACAAGAGAGGAAATAAAAGATGTGATATTAACTTTAAAAAGCGAAAAAGCGCCAGGTATTGATGGAATTAAAAACGAAATGATAAAGAGAATGTGGGTTGCAATACCATAGTATGTAAAAAATTTGTTGGATAATTGATTGAGGAATGGAATCTCTCCGGAGAAATGGAAGTAAGGAGATGAGGTGGTATTATTAAAGGGTATAGATAAGGATAAGACGGATCCAGGATCATATAGAGCAATTAATTTGCTGAGTGGTCTTGGAAGATGTTTAGAAAAATTATTAGTAAATCGTATGGAAGGAAGATTAGAAAGAAGGAGTGTTTTTCAATTTGGGTTTAGGAAGAAAAAATCAGTAGAAGATGCGTGGGAAAAAGTACAAACAATAGTTAAAGAAGGTAATGATAAATATATATTAGGAATATTTGTGGATTTTAAAGGTGCGTTTGATAATTCAGAATGGGATATAGTGATGCGAAAATTGAGAGAAAATAATTGTACCGAAATGAAAATGTGGAAGTCGTATTTTAATAATCGAGTAGTATTAGTTGAAGATGAAACGGAAAAGGTTGAAAGAAATATTAATAGAGGATGTCCACAGGGATCTATTTGTGGACCCTTCATGTGGAATATGGTGATGGACGATTTATTGAATGAGTTAGAAGATGCGGGATGTGCGGTTATTGCGTATGCGGATGACTTATTAATATTAGTGAAAGGAAGTAGTAGAAATGTGATTGAGCGTAAAGCGGTACAATGGATGACTAGAGTTGTGAATTGGGGACGTATAGTAGGAGTCGAAGTTTCGAAAACGAAAACTGTAATGATGATGATGAAAGGTAAATTAAATAAAAATCCGATTGTAAAAATGAATGAAGAGAATATAAAGATGGTATATGAAGTAAATTTGAAAGAAATGAATAAGAAAGTAAGTGCGGTAGTAGAAAAAATTAGTAGAATAATGCGGAAAGAATGGGGTCTGAGAAAGAAGGCAGTAGTTGTGTTATATAAAGGATTGCTGACTTCATGTGCATTATATGGAGCGGAAATATGGTATAAGGAATTAAAGAAGGTAAAAATGAAAAAAGCACTAGATAAAGTGGAGAGAGTAGGGTTATATGCAAGTTTAAGAGTATGTAGAACAGTATCAACTCATGCAATGGAGGTATTAATGGGAATATTACCATGGAGACATGAGGCTGTAAAAAGAGGAATATTGTATAAAATGAAAAAAGGACTAGAGTAAGAAAATATGCGTATTGAAGAGGAATTAATTGAAAGAAGACAAGAATGGGTAGAATTAGGAATAAAGGCAAAGAAATTATACTTAGATGTAATAATGTATGATCAATGGCAGGTAGACGCGGTGGGGATAGTAACAAAGAAGTTCATTGCGGATGTAAGAGTAGTAAGAAATTGGAAGTGGTTCGACCCAAGTTTGGAAATGAATTTCATATTAACAGGACATGGAAGTTTGAAGGCATTGTTATATCAAAGAAGGTTAGCAGATAATGATCGATGTTTATGCGGTGATGAAATAAATACGTGGGAACACGTAATAACAGATTGTAGGATATATAATGATATAAGAAATTTAGACAGAATGGAGATACAACAAGAAGGTGTAAAAAGGTGGCATTATGAAGACGTTTGTGAATATGAACATTCATATAGAGAAATGAATAAATTTGCGGTTGAACTATTTACAATAAGGAAAGCGATGATATAAAAATAGAATTAGTATTATTGTTTGAATTATTATGAAGTTGAAATGAAAATAGTGGAAATATTATATATTTAAAGAGAGTGATATTTATACAAGAATGAAAGGGCTGTGAGAATTAGGGCATGTTGGTGGAAAAGTGTAGTAGTAGTAGGAACGGTCCGAGACATAAGTCTAGAGTGTACCCGAAAGCACTGCAGGTAGTACTTCCAACTGAACTAAATTCATAGTAGCAGAATGCTAGTAAATTATCAAGAGTGAGTGAGAGGATAGGAGGATGCGAAGGAATTGGCCCGACTTAGGTCGGGCCATGGCGCAGGGAACGTTGAAGATGCCTACTACAAGTATTAGTACCCTATAGAGTATAGGGGAAAACACATGTAATGGGTTAGTAGACGTTTTGGGCTTGGCGCGCCCACGCACCCGAGCTGACTATAGCAAGGTCTGGGATGCATTCTCCCTAAAATTGTAGCAAGGACTGGACTGGTTGAGAATAACCCAGAAAGCACTTGTGAATAGGCCGAACCGAGGCCTAGCACGTATTCGGTACCCAGGGGGTCGTTAAAGCCCCATGACCTAGGCGTAAGTGTGAAAGTACTCTGCCTTGTGTCATGTGCGACCGTGAGGGTTGGACTCTGAGGGGCAGTGGTTGAAGCGATATGCTGGCTAGTATCACTTGTGATACGATGGGTGAGCTGCGTATCAGCTCGGGTGCTAGTCTGCAGAACTAGTAGAGCTTGGATAGGTGCTCGCTCATACCGAAGAGGCCGAAGACTGGAATGCAAATGGTCGCGGCAGTTCGGTAGCTCAACCCTTGCGGTTGGGCGCATTGGTCCAGCGTATCTGGACCCCGTTATATCTCTAGGGAGGTCGTGTCTTAGAGCCTCACGGCAGGAAAGGCACGTAAAACTTCAAGACAGCTGTCCCTACCCACTCCCCCCCAAGAAGCTGTAAGTCCTTGACGTGGTGGGGGGGCTCAGTAACTGCGATGAACCTTCAGGCGATGCCGGCGGGAGTGTATTCTCCTGGCAGGGCCACCCATGCCGGTAAGGCTGAAGGAGAGCAGTGAAGCTAAGAACAGCTCAAAAATGAATAGAGGAGTAAACCTCGATAAAAAATCCCCAACATCAAGGTGCACGCCGATGGTGCGGATGACGCCGGGGTGATGGCGCCACTAGTGCAAACCCTCAGACATGGCAAATCTGAGGTGTAAAAGCCTTACTCCTGCATGCGGGGCTCTGCAGGAATGGACAAAAATTTCCTCTGCTACTCGTGGGAACAATGATGGAAGATATAAATAATATAAACAAAACAAAAGAATCCGACCCTACTAAGGGTCAACCAAGCCATACATCAATAAGCTCTGGAAGTGAGCTGGATATACAAGACAATGCTAGTGTTGCTAGTAACATTATAGCTGGAAACAAGGTAATAAGTGGCAATGCCGATCCTCTGGGGTCTTATGCAAAAGACAATACCAGTGCAGAAAATGATGTGGGACAAAGAACAAACTCACAAGATGAGTTTATCCAAGAAAGTAGAAACTTCATGGGTGGCCAGGCGGCATCCCTAGCCACTTCGGCATTAGGACAATTTACTGCAGCCAAAGAGGTCATTATGAATATATTCGTAACTTCGAAAGAGTCAGCAGCCAAAAAACAGGTGGCCTCTAAAAACTTGGAGGATATGACTGAGGCATTCGTGAAAGTGTTAATGCACTTAAGTCAAGTAAGCGCAAATCAA